CATAATACAGCCGAAGCCGTACTACTCGATTGGATCCCCGTCAACAGCCGCTTATGTGCGATGCGGCTCCAAGGGTCTATCAGCGTCCGGAAGAGAAGCAACACAAAAAGGTGTTTATTCATCATTTAAGCGTATGCACCGACCAACTGCAGTTCTGACACACGAAAGGACGAGTTTTCTGATAAACTCACCGAACTCATCCGGTTGAGCCGAAGCTCCGATATAATTGTTCTCTCAGGTGATTTTAACACTCAAGTTGGAAAACTGAGCGCATCGAAAGCTTGCGTAGGTGGTCATTGTGCTCTGCCCTGCCAGCGAACAGATAATGGCCATCGACTTCTTCAGTTCTAAACGGATCATTATCTGCTCCTATCCAGCACCAACTTCCGACACAGTTCTCAACGGACAGCAACGTGGTGCTCAAATTCAACTGGCACGCTAACTCAGATCGACCACATAGCAGTAAGCTACCGTTGGCGTGGCTCAGTACAAAACTGCAGGTCCTATTGGACCACCTGCGTTGAATCTGATCAAGCGTTAGTTTTGATGCAGTTCACTTTCCAACTCACTGGTCGCAGAAAATCCTACCAAAATCGACTGACAGATCATCACTTATCTGACACAGCCGTTCGTGCCCGTTATGAATCAGAAATAGGGCAAGAGCTAAATGCACTGCGGTGTGGTAGTGTTAATGAACCATGGGATTAGATTAGCCCAGCAATGCACTCCGCAGCGAACGTTACTTGTGGATCTGAAGCAGTAGCCCGTCCGAGGCATCGGATCTCTGATGAGTCAGTCGCACTGGTGGAGAAAAAGCAGCAAATCCTAATCACCCGGGATCAAGGCAGGGTTANCTCACGAGGAGCCTCAAGAAAGACCGTGAGAACTGGTGGGCAACGATAGCTTGTGAAAGGCAAGTAGCAGCTGCATCAGGGAAGTCAGACTGTTCCAACTGATACGCAATACGGGAGGTCGGCGAACTACAGTTAGTGAAACAATCTGCGACAACAGTGGGCAAGCTATTCACAAAAGGAAACAGCTTGACCGGTGGGTGGAGTACTTCAACGAACAGTTCAGCTGACCCGGAGCTAACCAGGCTATCTGCTCCGATGTGAGGCTCCGTGGGCAGTATCATCTGAATCTCCTACTGCAGTAGTTCGTTTTAGCATTCAAGTCCTGAAGAAAGGAAAAGCAGCAGGGCCNGCCGAACGAGCTTCCTCCCACTATTTTCAAGATGGGGGCGATGACTCCATGAGTGATGTGATGCCTGACATCTGGTTACACGAGCGCATTTCATCACCCTGGGGCGAATCACTGATTTTTTCAATGTTTAAGAAGGTATCTCGCAATGACTGCGCAAACCACCGTGTAATAAGTTTGATCCCAATCGTCATCAAGTAGGAGCCATTATACCTCAACGTCTGACGCCGTTTAGGGAGACAAACATCCGCGAACAACAAGCAGGATTTCGACTAGGTCGTGGTTGTATCTACCAAATCCTCATTCTGCGTCAAGTCCTCGAGCTACGCCATATGCACAGTCGACCAACGGTTGTCGTGTGCCTTGACCTAAAAGGAGCCTTCGACTCAGTTGATCGTGAATCCCTTATAGGTTACTCCTTAGCAAAGGAATGCCGCACAAGTCTGTGAACATACTGAGTTCACTCTACTCACATACCTCAGGTAGCGTATGGGTCTACGGCGAGCGGAGTAGGTCGTTCGTAGCTAACAGCGGTGTTCGTCAAGGGTGCCCTCTTTCGCCATTCCTGTTCAATTTCGTCACAGACTAAACACACACTAAGTGACCTCCAAAAAGTAGGTATTGAATGAGCAGCTGGAGAAAAGCTGTGCTATTTGGAGTGCACTGATGACGTCGTTTGCCTGTTCGAATGTATGGAGGATACACAAAGAGCACTTGACAGATTAGCAAGTTCTGTCGCTCCATTCGACATGTGCTTTGCACCTTCAAAGTGCAAAGTGATGCTGAAAGGCAGGGTGTCACCGAGTTCTGCTCTGAAACTAGACGGTCAGGAATTGGCTGAAGTTGACTGTTGCTCGTACTTAGGTATCTGCGTGACCAACGACGGTAGTGCATCGAAGACGATAACCGCCCGCATTTCCAAGGCTTGAGCAGCGTACGAAGGACTAAAACACCTGTGGCAGCGACTTGACGTGTCACCTAAGTTGAAAAGTAGCGTATACAGCGCCACCGTACGATCAGTTCTACTTTACGGTTGAGACCTTGAATTTGCGGGTAGAAAACACCCGTCGTTTAGCAGTGTTCGACAATCGATGCTTACGTAGTCTGGCTCAAGTGGGATGGAGTGAACGGATTAGTAACTTAGAAGTAAGTCGTCGGGTGTTTGGGAATACATCAAGCAAGAACTCGCTATCGCATCGAATCCAGCTCAGTAGGCTCCGTTGGTTAAGACACGTCTTGCGTATGTCCGACGGTCGCCTATCGCAGCGCGCCTTGTTTGCAGTGGCTGTTATAGGCTAGACAAGGCCACGAGGTCAACAGATGACGTGGAGTCGAGACGTGAAGAAGTGCACAGAGCGATTAGGTAGGTGTCTCTCGGGTTGGGGTCCAAAAGACTCAGTAACCGGATGGTTGGAGGCACTGAAAGTCATGGCTGCGAACCGACAGCAATGGTGATCACTTCTTATTAGACCAGATTGCCTGAAATAGTTTGTATGCACAGTTGAAATGTGTACTTTGTTGACCATAGAGGTTCGCTTTCTTTTCCCGTCCCTAAAAATAAGCCCAATCTGTCTTCTTTACAGAATCTCACTTATCTTGTATTCATTGTATGCATTGCCAGCGATCAGTGAAGTCTGCTTCAATGTATTACGCCGTACAGTGATGTTACTCAAAAATTATTTGTTAGATGACAGAACCTAACATGCATGAAACTCATTTATATGAATCGGTTATGTTACTGAAATACAGAGATCAGATAATGTAACTCCTTACTCGGTTCCAATTACGCTATAGCGACGCCAAATCCTCGGAATTGAAAGCAACTTTGCTTTCCAGGCCGATAATTATATATATATATATATATATATATATATATATTCCCACATAACAATAACAGTATTAAATTGAAAAATTAAAAAAAATAAAAATACACCGTTATTAATGATATACATGTATCGAATACCCAATGTTACATATATTATGTTATATAACACACGGTACTAATATGTAATCTGCGTATTCAGCCCTTCGATTGGCTGCGATACACTCTCGTGCTCTTTCGTCACATTGGGATTTATCGTCTGCCTCATCCGTATATCAGTACTAATGATATCCAGGATAAATAAATATTCTCGTCAGGACACGCTACGACTTTTAAAACTGCAATGTAAGCACATGTACTTACAAAAGTTATACAAATACAAATTGCTTCTCGTTACGCATGCTCGAATGAATTCAGAAAACTGCGGGATCACTTCCACGGATCTACTGATACTAGTGAATATATATATATATATATAACACATAATATATGATGCCCTTTATATATATAACATAAGTATAGTATAATGAATAATTCCTTATGTGAATGTATATATGTATACATAAAAAAGAACAACCTCAATTTCGAACGAACAAATTTTAATCACAGATCCATTATACTTTCAAAAAGAAAGGACCACCACAAAAACAAACTTACAGGGAAACCACATGTCTCGGGAAGTTTGAAATCGCGCCAACACAGTACTGATATAATTTGTTGAATTCCGATTGGTCCACTTGGATCAATTGCTCAATTCAAACAACGCAAAGGACGTGAGTGTACAGTTTAGTTCAGTTTGCACAGGATGAATATGGCTCTTGCCAATTGAGATTCCAGTTCGTTGTGTTGTCGGCGGATGGGAGTAGCTTCCAACACTGAATACAGTTGATTGGGTATTTTTGATCCTTTCAATTCAACCCCGTATCCAGAACGTTGTCTCCAAGGGGGTATGCTGAAAGGGAGGAAAATAAGCAAGGATAACTCCTCGCCACATTATTTAGAGACCTCAAGCACACATGCGTTAGTACATACAGCTTACATATGACACTTCTGCGGTAAACAGGTTATCCGCAGAAGTGGTCAGCTGTGCCAATGTTAACACTTGGGCTTGAGTGTTGAAATTATTCTAAAACCTGACTATCCTGTCACATGTAAGCTGTGTATACTAACGCATGCGTACTTGAGGTCTCTCTATATCATTTCACAATTTTTGGCTGAAGTAGAATTTACTCTTTATGTTCCCAGTCTAAATACTAACTTCGAGGATCGTTTCTGACCAACATGCGTCCAGTGCCACCTTGAAGGTGTTAACATTGGCGTAAATGACCTCTTCCGCGGGTAACCTGTTCCACATACGTATGACCCTGTGTGCGAAGAAGTTGGCCCCTACTTCTAACCTGGGGTGGTTCTGTTGGAGTTTATAGCTATGACCTCTCGTGTTTTGAGCACGAGAAATCGCAAACAAGTCATCTAGATTGAGTCCCGATAGACCTCTTACAATTTTAAAAGTATCTATCAGATCTCTTCTCATTCGTCTACGCTCCAGCGAAAAGAGATTGAGAACTCGTAACCGCTGCTCAAAGCTTCCCCCCTTTTTCCCAGTCACCATTCGGGTGGCTAGGCGTTGCACTCGCTCTAAGCACGTTACATCTTTCCTGTAATACGGTGCCCATGCCTGCACACCATATTCCACGTGTGGGTGCACAATCGATTTATACAATGGGGTGAAAACCTCAGGCCTTCTGCATGTCACTGTGACACAAAACCTGAACAGCTGCCCCCTAGCCTGATTAGCAGCCTTGGAACACTTAGTTGAGGGCTTAAAGTCTTGGGTCATAAGAACCCCGAGATCTTTCATCTGTGGGACCTGCTGCATGGGAGCCCCATTTAACGAGTATGTACCATCCCTCGTTGCTAGGAGCCGGTACTTGCTTAGATTCAGAGGTAAGTCCCACTTGACCGACCATTGATGGACTACCTCTATGTCCCTTTGTAAGTCTTTGTAATAATCGAATAGGAACCGGAATTGAACAGCGCGAACTTGAACTCGGACTGA